GATAAAAACTATGCAAGATACGGTAGGAAATAATTTAGAAAATGTAGGAGATACACACCACAGTCATGGTGCATGATCTTAGAATCATGTACAGACGTATTTATCTAAAACATATCTATCTGATTTCAAGCAGTGTCCCATATTTGAATTGACGTGATAGCGACACATAGGGGTTTCCCTTGTTGTGTTTTCGGAATCCCGGTTGCTAAGGAAAGAGCGTACTGCAGCGAATCATCTCAGTTAAATTTGATTGGTCAAACTTGGCTGCACAGAAACAAATTACAAGTTTCTTTCAGAAACAAGACTGTACCTCAACGACTTGTAGTTGTAAACGGTCAAGTAATCAAAATGCTGTACGAATAATGAAAGAACTGCTACTAGTATCACTCGTTCGTCTTGCAGTGCCTCAGCCAGAATTTTTTTGAGTGTTGCCAGTTGCCACCTTAACTACTAACATGTGTGCCAATGCAGTTGAGACTTTTGCCATTCATGGTAACCATGGTATAGAAGACCTGTGGATTATATTAAATGTTGCACCAATGGGCGCTCTAGCATTGAAAAAAAGTGCCATTGCATATTTTTTAGTGTGAATGGAGCCAGAGCTACAGATAACTTTTTGGGTCATTGAGTTATGTACTCGCTTGTGTTCATCTCAATTGGGTATCCTAATTTTCTTTTGAGTAACCAAATAAATTGTACTCACCTCACTCAAACTCAATTGGGTATTTTGCCATTTCCATTAATTGTAAAAATTTAATAAAGTTTAAATGTTACTGTTTGTTATTTATATTTGATCTGTAATATGATAAACAATAAAAAAAGACTACAAGTTGTCAAGTTCATGTCCTGAAATAGAACCTCTTCACTTATTTTATCTATCCACTGGTACTCAAGCTAAGATTTGACATGTTTGTGTGTACGCATGTAAGATCACATTTATTGGGTATTTACAAAAATTCAAGCGTACCTATACGCAATAGACTTAATAGGAATTGAGTTTTCACATAAATATTTGCGTAATTTACTCAGATACGCAGCTTATCTGTACCTCTGTGGAGCACTGGTGTTGTCGTAGTCATACTCCATTAAATTCCATTCAGTACTCTAAATGTACTCTTAAGCTTTTCCAGTACTACTATATTGAAAAAATAAGGAGTAAGTACTTCTGATGTTGAAAAATTATCTGGAGCTCTGTTTGGACTGATCCAAAGCATATATCACTCTATCAGTATTCTTTGAATTTTATGCTACTCGTGAACATTTTATGTCCTTCACTGAAGACAACCATTTATTTTCTTAATGTGAAACTTAAAGTAGATTTTCTAGTTAAAAAATGTAAAAGGCCGTATTAAATTAATAACATAATAGACAACCTGAGCTGGAAGAGTGCAAGTAATCAAACAATTTGTAGGCAAACTTGTGGTCGATAGCATGAACAACCAATCACAATCAGCAAGGTTTAGCTTTCACCATCTGATGTAAATCCTAGCCTGGAGAGCAAACATTGTGTGATAGGAACCAATCTGACCTCTAAATTCCCTAGAGGAGGGATGGTGGGGGGGAGCATAGTGGTTAAGGGTGCTCGACCTGGCTTCTATTCCCCTTATAGGTGAAAACGTGTAAAATCCATTTCTGGTGTCCCCTGCGTGACATTGCTGGAACATTGCTAAAGGTGGCGTAAAACCAAACTCACTCACTCAACCTGGAGGAACAAATTACATGTTTCAGGATCAGTCATCATTGAAGTACTGTGCTTGTAAATTGATATACATTGCTATATACATGAAACTATGGTAACATGGCACCTGGGTTATTTTATGGGTCAAGGACAAATGAGGATTCACTATTCTTGCATTCATGTAAAGAAATCCCGCTGTCAAGTTTAGTGAGTGAGTGAGTTTAGTTTTACGTCCGCTTTTAGCAATATTCCAGCAATATCACGGCGGGGGACACCAGAAATGGGCTTCACACTTTGTACGCATGTGGGGAATAGAACCTTCGGCGTGACGAGCGAACACTTTAACCATTAGGCTACCCCACTGTCAAGTTTAGAGATTTAAATGATGTTTACTGGTTTATTTACAATAAATTGAAATGACCTTATTGTTGTGATCATCAAAAGGTATGGGCACATATATTTACAAAGGCACATCTACATTATCGGTCTGGTACCCTATGGCACTGTTTGAAAAAATTGGATTTCTTTCCCTGATTTATGTATAGCAACATATATGAGCAGAATTTCTGCAGTGTCAAGGTTACTACCATTCTCTTCCCACAGAGGTTACTCAAGTCATATCTTCCTAAGAACCTATGTTCTAATACGGCCATATTTCCCTGTTCTCGTAAAATTCCCTAGCAGCAAATAATCACAACACGAATTATCTCCCTTCTTTCTATCCAGTCAGAGTGAGTGAGAATGTTTTACCCTGCTTTTAGCAATATTCAAGCGATATCACGGCAGAGGACACCAGAAATAGGCTTCACACAATGTATCCATGTGGGGAATCAAACCAGTGTCTTCAGTGTGACGAGCAGACGCTTTAACCACGTGGCTACCCCACCACCCGCTATCCAATCAGATTGACTAAATATGGTTTTACGCCGCTTTTAGCAATATTTCAGCAATATCATGACGGGGGACGCCAGAAATGGGTTTCACACTTTGTACCCATGTGGGGAAACGAACCTGGGCTCTAGGCATAACGAACGAAACTATTTAGCACACTGCACTTGCACACATGAGTGAAATAGAGAGAGAGTCTTTTCAAGTGTGCTACACGGCACTCCCCAAAAATTGGAATCTAAGAGTGCCATCAAGACAAAAATACTTTTGATACATCTTTAAACTCAGAGAAAGTCATTTTGTAATAAGGGTAAAAATAGCAGTAGTATTCAGATTGTCTGTTTTGTGACAGTCTCTGTTTAAACTATGTTTTGACTGTCATCCTCAAAAAAGACATGTAGAAACAACTATGGATTTTCATATATATGGTTTCAGGATCTGGACATTTATTACAGAGATGGCGGGTGACTGAGAATATAATATGATGCAGTCCTAAGAGCATCTGCCAACCTTTCATTTATTAACTGAACTGGGCCCGGTTCAACAAAGCGATCTTAGCGCAATGCTGATCGTAAGGCCCATACTTTAACTTAGGCTTACGATCATTGTAGCATTAAGATCATTTGTGGAACAGGGCCCTGGGCAGTCCAACTCCATGCACCATGACTATTCTTATAAGGTATGGGAGTTGAGATCGTCATTGCGCTAAGATCGCTCTGTCCAAGTAAGCTCTGTCCCTCAGCAAGTTCAGTGGGATCTTATGAACATTTATTACTGATTGGTTAAGAAAATCTGTTTAGAGCTCTCATTGGACAGATCAGTTAATATGGGGAATACAGGAATATTTTTAAATATAACAACATGAAAACAACAGAGATCTAATCACAAGGAGGTGGTGAGGTGAGGTGAAATTGGGTTTTACGTCGTGCTTGAGAATATTCCGTTCATATGACGACATGCATGCATGTGTATGTGCGGCTGCTTGTACTAGCCCAGACTGAAGCTGGTTTTATAGTGCTAGCCCACTGAGATACCATGCCGCAGTGAAGCATGAATACCCCACTCAGACACAGTATACTGACTCCGAGCTGACCAGTCCTTGTTGTACCCATTAATGCCGAGAGCCAGGCAGGGTCCAACAAGTACCATATTTTAACGTCTTTTGGTATGACACGGTCAGGGATCGAACCCGCGACCTTCCGCTCTCCGGGCAGACGCTCTAACCACTACAGCACAGAGGCGGTCAATCACAAGGAGGGATAAAAAAAAAAAGTACCCAGGTGTACCCCATAAAACAGACCCTGAAATCTGTACAGAAACTTATATATGCTTTAAATTGGGTGGAATTCAGGAGTTAACATAATTAACTAGGATGATTCATGCAAGTTAATTTTTTTCTTGGGTTGACACTAGAATCGCCCAACGCTAATATTATCTTCAGAAAGATAAACATGGATTTAGCTTCAATGAATCCATTGTTTTCAAACTTTGGAACTCAATATCAACTCAACATGTAATGGTAGGAAAAAACTTCAATTGCTTAAAAAACCGAAACTATTGTTGATGATACCTATTGGCCTCGTTTAGTGAAAGATAATGCAGGGCTCCAGATATGTACGGATAAAAAATATGCACGATACGGTAGGAAATAATTTTGAAAACGTAGCAGATACGCACCACAGCAATGGTGTACGAATCATTTACAGATGTATTTATATGAAAAAGTATTGTTTTATTGTTTATTGACCTGTTTACACAAGAGTAGCAATGTTGTGGTGCATATACCAAACGAAACACAAGAATACTGATTACTAATTTCCATTCAGTACTCTAAATGTACTCTTAAGTTTTTCCAGTACTCCTATATTGAAAAAATAAGGAGTACGTACTCCTGATGTTGAAAAATTATCTGGAGCCCTGATTATGTCTACATGGGGAACTGTATTTGACAAGAATAAAAAAAAATTCAGGGTGTAAATGTATTCTGGAAATAAACTGACACATAGACCTACATTGCACCCAGTATACATTCCATTTCCAGTCACAACCAGCATCAGGTATCATTTCACGGTTCGGTGAACACGAAAAGTAGGCCAGTGTTATTTTTAGATAAAATCACGTGGAAATCATCAAGCGTGACAACAATCTTTGAAACGTTCAACAATTCTGGGAAATGTACTGTAATCAGGTTGAGATACGTTTACCTGTGTAAAGTTATGAATCAGACTGTTTGCATGAAAAGTGCAAGCGAAATTACCATATTGCACACTCCTGCTCAACAGTACATGCTATCAATATTGACTCGGTGAATTCTCTCGCAGACAGCAGTTTGACAGGTGGTTAAAACCCGGCGTGAGTGTTTCAGTGAGAAACTGACATACAAATCCTCTTGAAAATAAATAATGATTAAAAAATGTTAAAATAGTTCACTTACCACTTGTGTTGTTAGTCTAATCCACCTGCTTAGAATATTCTAAGACGAAGTTCAGCCTTCAAACATAAACAAGTCTCTGCTTAAACCGTACGCTCACTTCCGGAAGAGACAAGCCAGTCAGTGGACAAACCTGATTGGTCGATATAGTGTCATGTGATATAGGTGACAGGGGTCAGCGCGTGGCAGGTGGGAGGCGTTGGAATATATTCACAGTGTAACAGGTGATCGTTGGTAACAGGACGAATATTGATTAGAAGTTGCCTGTGAATATAGAGAGACAAAGTGGTCTACAATTATGTTAGGAATACAAGTGACTGTTTGAGGGTGTGTCGCGTTGTGACACACAACATGGTGGCTGGGGCTTCTGTGATACAGCAGTTAACATTGAGATCGCATCTGTACAAAAAACGTTGAAGCGACATTTTCGTGTGTGACACAGGAATCCTTTAGAACCCAACGTCATGTGATGTAGAGTAAATGGTCGATAAATATTAGATGTTTTGCCATGTTACAGTAAAAGTGCGTTAACGTTTATATACAAGGGATATGTCACTCACTCGATGAAGCCAGTGACGGGGTCTTCAAGGTATATGATGTCACTGACGGGTCTTCAAGGTATATAATGTCACTGACGGGGTCTTCAAGGTATAATGTCCCTGATGGGGTCTTCAATGTATAAAATGTCACTGATGGGGTCTTCAAGGTATAATGTCACTGACGGGGTCTTCAGGGTATAATGTCACTGACAGGGTCTTCAATGTATATGTCACTGACGGGGTCTTCAAGGTATATAATGTCACTGACGGGGTCTTCAAGGTATATAGTGTCACTGATGGGGTCTTCAAGGTATATAGTGTCACTGGCGGGGTCTTCAAGGTATATAATGTCACTGACGGGGTCTTCAAGGTATAATGTCACTGATGGGTCTTCAAGGTATATAATGTCACTGACAGGGGTCTTCAAGGTATATCACTGATGGGGTCTTCAAGGTATATAATGTCACTGACGGGTCTTCAAGGTATATAATGTCACTGACGGGTCTTCAAGGTATATAATGTCACTGACGGGTCTTCTTCAATGTATCAAGGTATATATAATGTCACTGACAGGGTCTTCAAATGTCATGACGGGTGTCACTGACGGGTCTTCAAGGTATATAATGTCACTGACGGGTCTTCAAGGTATATAATGTCACTGACGGGGTCTTCAAGGTATATAATGTCACTGACGGGGTCTTCAAGGTATATAATGTCACTGATGGGGTCTTCAAGGTATATAATGTCACTGATGGGGTCTTCAAGGTATATAATGTCACTGACGGGGTCTTCAAGGTATAATGTCACTGACGATGGGGTCTTCAAGGTATATAATGTCACTGATGGGGTCTTCAAGGTATATAATGTCACTGACGGGGTCTTCAAGGTATATAATGTCACTGATGGGGTCTTCAAGGTATATAATGTCACTGACGGGTCTTCAAGGTATATAATGTCACTGTCACAGTCTTCAAGGTATATAGTGGGGTCTTCAAGGTATATAATGTCACTGATGGGGTCTTCAAGGTATATAATGTCACTGATGGGGTCTTCAAGGTATATAATGTCACTGACGGGGTCTTCAAGGTATATGATGTCACTGTCACTGGCCATGAGTCTTCAAGGTATGTCACTGGTGGGGTCTTCACTGACGGGTCTTCAAGGTATATAATGTCACTGACGGGGTCTTCAAGGTATATAATGTCACTGATGGGGTCTTCAAGGTATATGATGTCACTGACGGGTCTCAAGGTATATAATGTCATATAAGGTGTCACTGTCACTGGGGTCTTCAAGGTATATAATGTCACTGACAGGGGTCTTCAAGGTATATATGTCACTGACGGGTCTTCAAGGTATATAAGCGGGTCACTGATAGGGTCTTCACGGGGTAGGTATATAATGTCACTGACGGGTCTTCAAGGTATATAATGTCACTGATGGGGTCTTCAAGGTATATAATGTCACTGACAGGGTCTTCAAGGTATATATATAATGTCACTGACGGGGTCTTCAAGGTATATAATGTCACTGACGGGGTCTTCAAGGTATATAATGTCACTGACGGGGTCTTCAAGGTATATAATGTCACTGACAGGGTCTTCAAGGTATATGATGTCACTGACGGGGTCTTCAAGGTATATAGTGTCACTGGGGTCTTCAAGGGTCTGATGCGGGTCTTCAAGGTATATAGTGTCACTGACGGGGTCTTCAAGGTATATAGTGTCACTGACGGGGTCTTCAAGGTATATAATGTCACTGATGGGGTCTTCAAGGTATATAATGTCATTGACGGGGTCTTCAAGGTATATAATGTCACTGACGGGGTCTTCAAGGTATATAATGTCACTGACGGGGTCTTCAAGGTATATAATGTCACTGATGGGGTCTTCAAGGTATATAGTGTCACTGACACGGGGTCTTCAAGGTATGGGGTCTTCAAGGTATATAATGTCACTGATTGGGGTCTTCAAGGTATATAATGTCATTGACGGGGTCTTCATGGTATATAATGTCACTGACGGAGTCTTCAAGGTATATAATGTCACTGATGGGGTCTTCAAGGTATATGATGTCACTGACAGGGTCTTCAAGGTATATAATGTCACTGACGGGGTCTTCAAGGTATATGATGTCACTGACGGGTCTTCAAGGTATATATGTCACTGACAGGGTCTTCAAGGTATATAATGTCACTGATGGGGTCTTCAAGGTATATGATGTCACTGACAGGGGTCTTCAAGGTATATAATGTCACTGGACGGGTCTTCTTCAAGGTATATAATGTCACTGACGGGGTCTTCAAGGTATATAATGTCACTGACAGGATCTTCAAGGTATATAATGTCATTGACGGGGTCTTCAAGGTATATAATGTCACTGACAGGGTCTTCAAGGTATATAATGTCATTGACGGGGTCTTCAAGGTATATAATGTCACTGACGGGGTCTTCAAGGTATATAGTGTCACTGACGGGGTCTTCAAGGTATATAGTGTCACTGACGGGGTCTTCAATGTATATAGTGTCACTGACGGGGTCTTCAATGTGTATAATGTCACTGACGGTGTCTTAAAGGTAGATAATGTCACTGGTGGGGTCTTCCATGGTATATACTGTCACCGATGGGGTCTTCAAGGATCTTCACTGGTGGGGTCTTCAAGGTATAATGTCACTGACGGGTCTTGGGGTCTTCAAGGTCTTCAAGGTATATAATGTCACTGATGGGGTCTTCAAGGTATATAATGTCACTGACGGGGTCTTCAAGGTATATAGTGTCAATGACGGGGTCTTCCAAGGTATATAATGTCACCGATGGGGTCTTCAATGTATATAATGTCACTGACGGGGTCTTCAATGAGTGAGTTTAGTTTCAGCAATATTCCAGAGGTATATGTCAGCGGTCTGTAAATAATTGAGTCTGGACCAGACAATCCAGTGATCAACAACATGAGCATCGATCTACGCAATTGGGTTACGATGACATGTGTCAACCAAGTTAGCAAGCCTGACCACCCGAGCCTGTTAGTCGCCTCTTACGACAAGCATGGGTTACTGAAGATCAGTATTCTAACACGGACCTTCACGGGTGTTCGGACCAAGAGACATCAACTGAAGATCAATTCTAACCCTGATCTTCACGGATAGTTTTTCGTTACAAGACCCTATGGGTGTGTATGCATGCACTATTGAAATGCATTTTAAAACATTGTCTATGTTTTTGTTGTTTTATGCCGCATTTGACATATTACAGCTGTACGACACGGTCTGTAAATATTCAAATAGGCTCAGGGACAGTTTATGGAGAAGTCGGGGTGCACAGTTCATTTTCACGAGTTTCAATGGTCATTTTATAAACTTTCAGGATAAAAGGGGGTGGGGGTGCGCACCCCTGCACACGTGCGCGCACACGCACGCACGCACACACACGCACACCTGTATCCGCCTATGCTATTTCACCAAACAATGCTTGTCGTTAGGGACGACTAACGGGATCGGGTGGACAGCCTCTCTGACTTGATTGACACATGTCATCGTAACACAATTGCGTAGGTTGCAGTTCATGCTGTTGATCACTGGATTGTCTGGTTCAGACTCGATTATATACAGACTGCCGCCATATAGCTGGACTATTGCTGAGTGCGCCGTAAAACTAAACTCACTCACTCACTTAATCAATGTCGTACTGAAATTTACGCTTCAAAAGTTCAGAATCTTAACAAAGTGAACCTATTGTTGTTATATACATTAAACGTGTTGTTTCTTACACCTGGCTTCTGCGTGTTCAGTGATACGCTGTTTCCTGACTATAACTGTGCATAACTGTGATTGTTCTACAGTTTGTTCAGCTTGACCTGAGCTACGCTACATATGCATGACCCGGGAGGTCAAATGGCACAAACGGCAGGTCGTTAATAGGGGAGCAGAGAATGTTATTAATGTTGCTTCGTGCGAAGCATACATGGATACATGGATTCGTTACAGAACTTGTCCCGGAAAACAACACTTCTGCAAAAACAATCATTTCATGTTTTAATTGAATTGGTTTATACAGTCATATGCTATCTAGTTTGGTTTACTACCTTTACAACGTGCAGACGTCAGTTACTTTCACAATCCGATTCACTCTCGCTATCACTCTCTACACCCAGTTGCTGCTGCTGCTCGCTGCCTAAAAGCCCGAATCGGAAACATTAAACCATCTTGTAGCTTCTTTTTAGAAGAAAGTTAGGACATTGCTGGCGATATCTGGACACTGAGATGTCAAATGGCGACATTGACTTAAGACCACATTGAAGATTTTTTATCCCCCATCGCGCGTTTAGCGCGAAGCGGGGGATATAGTATTAGGCTCCGCCCGTCCGTCCGTCCGTACGAATTGGAATATCTTAAGGGCCGTTGACTGGATTCTTTTCATATTTGGTTCCTAGGTTCACAGTAAAAGAAAGGTCCCAGTCAGGTTTGGTGACCTTGACCTTCATTTCAAGGTCACAAGGGGACTTTAACGTTTTACCCTTGTCAGCGAGATATCTCAAGAACCGTTCACTGGATTTTCTTCATATTGGACACCAAACTTCATCT